CATAAAACTTCAGATTAAATCGATTAGATAGCGATAGTGATTCGTCGTTGATATAAGTAGCATTATATTTTTACAGAAGATAAAAGAACATCCAGGGAAATAATAAAACTTATTTTACCTTCGTACGTATCTGCAAAACGTTACTACAAAACGTACCGCATTAGAGCTCTTTTTCCATTTCTCTTTAAATTTTCCATCTTCCTATAATAAGCCCATACAATATGTATATATGAGCGTCTGTGTGCATTCGGCAAATTATATCATATAATCTGAGACATCGAGAGAGAGGGTTAAACTGTAGCAGAATAATAAATAATCTATTAATTCTGAAGTCTATATTGAAAAATTCTCGTCTGGATGATTCCCTCGTTAGTAATATCAAATCTTAGAAACGAGTGATATTATATAAACGGGTCACTCTGTACATGTATTTAGAAATTGTGAATCTAACATATTCACTTCTCGAAGTAATTAAACGTACAGGCGAAGTGTTCTCAATGGTTTAACGCTTTTTTTTGTTTCGCGCGAAGAAAGGCAATGTCTATTTTATGCTTCGTGTTATTGCCTCGACCCGATTCGTCCGAAGGCAACCGCTTTTCTTCAAAGGAATGGAGCATCGTGGATGTTCAATTTGCCGCGCGAGCGTTCCACAGTCATGCCATCGGCAATTCGATCCTAATGTGTTACGAGATCGAAATGTGAAAAATGTGATTCGCGGATGATGAAACAAGAGACGAGTGAGAAACGCAATGGCGAGAATTATTACATGAATCCACAAGAGATTGAGTTTAATATCGATGTTGCATATTATCCAGACAGCACAAATTTCTAAAGAATAAAAGACTGTCTAAAAGACATCTAAAAAGGACAAGACGTCTTTTGGATACCTTTAATAAGTTTGTGTTGTTTGGATTATGTTCGAGCGATATTTTCAGACATCGTTATCATCGTTATAATAATTATTATTCATCGCATTTTCTTTTTCTTTTGTTTTTACGTACATAGCTAAAGATCGTTAAATTAGTATTATTCACGCGCGAATTCTTTCCATATTCTAAATATTACTGATACAATATACAGGACGTACAGTAAAATGTGAGATTACAATAGCGTGCGGTTGTATTTTTAGATAATGATAATTGGCTTCTTCCTGCCTGCAAAAAAATTACCGTATCCTTCAAAAGCTTAATGATAAATTAATAAATATATAGAAATTATTCGTATAAATAAAAAATATATACAACGAAGGTATATTGTAATGTATGTATGTATATATGTATGTATACAGGATGTCCCATTTTTAAAAACGCATCTCGATAATTCTTCAACGAAGCATTTTCAGCAAACATGTTTCGGACAAAAGTTGTATGATTTCAAGCGGGACATAAAACTATACTATTTTGCTTACAAATGGCACTACTTTCGAGATATTCACTAATCATTACTTTTCTTAAATGCAAACCTCAATTTTTTATTACACCGTCTTTTTTTATCAATTAATTTAAACAACTTTTGTCTGAAACATTTTTTTATTTGCTTAATATTTTTTGAGATATTTAAGGAAAATTTGATAACTTTTTCAATATTTAACTCACGATATCTCGCTATTTGTCGGAAAAAAGTGGTACTAGACTTTTCTGCTCTATTTAATCTCAAGAATATATTGTTATAATAGCGCCCTGACTTTTGTTAACTTACTGACTTTTGGAAATTTCAAAATCATCAAATTAACAAATTAACAAAGGTCAGGGCGCTATTGTAACAATATATTCTTGAGACCAAGTAGAGCAAAAAAATCTAGTACCACTTTTTCTTCCGACAAATAGTTAGCGAGATATTGTGAGTTAAATATCGAAAAAGTTATCAAGTTTTCCTTAAATATCTCAAAAAATATTAGGCAAACAAAAAAATGTTTCAGACAAAAGTTGTTTAAATTAATTGGTAGAAAAATACGGTGTAATAAAAAATTGGATTTTCCATTTAAGAAAAATAATGATCAGTGAATATCTCGAAAGTGGTGCCATTTGTAAACAAAATAGTATAGTTGTTTTATGTCTCCTTTGAAATCATACAACTTTTGTTCGAAACATTTTTGCTGAAAATGCTTCATTGAAGAATTATCGAGGTGCATTTTTTGAAATGGGACACCCTGTATACAAGGTGTATAAAAAGTCCCGGGATGCCTGAATATCTCAGAGAAGTTACGTTTTAGAAAAAAATATTAAATATGAATATTGTAAGGTTTCAAGAAGTCTATTAGTCTTTCATTAGTCTTATCAGTTTGACCTTGAGTGACGTTGCCAAGGTCAAGTTAAAGTCAACTTAATTTTTTTAAATGGAAATCCCCATTTTTTATTATATATTCTTGTAGCTTACCTCGAGAGCTTAAAAAAAAAATATATATATATATATATACATACAGGGTGTCTCAAAAATATCGGACCTCTCGGATAACTTTGCAGGATCAAATTTTCATGAAAAACTTTAAATACAAAAGTTGTAGGAAATTGAGTAACGGACTTGATGATGACCTTGAATTTGACCTTGGCCATGACCTTCAAGGTCATTTGGAGGTCAACTTGAAAATTTTAAATGGGAACCCCTATTTTTTATTACACTATTTTTTTCTAACAATTAATTTGAACAACTTTTGTCTAAAACATTTTTTTATTTGCCTAATATTTTTTGAAATATTAGAGGAAAACTTGATAACTTTTTCAATATTTAACTTACGATATCTCGCTAACTAGTTGTCGGAAGAAAAAATGGTACTAGACTTTCTTGCTTTATTTAATCTCAAAAATATGTTGTTACAATAGCGCCCTGACAGTATCACCGGCATTAAGATGTACCGCGTGAAGGTTGCCCGGTCGGATTTACATCTCTATTGTGTTCGAAGGAAAATCGATGTGATCCACGCGATTGTAGGTGACAACTTGCATGATATGGAAACATATATGGTTTCAACAAGATGGTGTCGGACCACATTATGAAATAAATGTTTGAAATTTTTTGGATACAGTTTTTCCTAATCAATGAATAGGAAGAAAAGGAGCGATAGAGTGGCCACCAAAATTACCTGATTTTTCACCATTGGACTACTTTTTATAGATTTGCTAAAAAGTAGAGTTTGTAAAACGAAACCTCAAAATCTCGATAATCTCCGGCAAGGAATTCTTGATGAGATCTGCACTTGATTGCACTTATCGTAGAGATCACATAAAACATGCATCTTTTCTCAATCGATTAGAATATTGTCAAACTGTGAATGGAAGACACTTTGAACATTTATTATAACGTAGTCTCCAATAGATCACATCAATCTTGCCTTCATTGGCTGGATCATCTTCCGAACACAATAGAAGTGTAAATCCGACCGGGCAACCTTCACGTGGTACATTTTAGGTAATGCTAATTCCGGCGGTACTGTAATTTTCAAGCTTTATAACTCGAAAAATATTTAATGAAAAAATATGTTATTATAGTGTTTTAGAAAGTTCTCGAGGTAGACTTCTTGAAATCTTACAACATTTATATGTATATTTTTTTCTAAAATGTAATCCCCGAGATATTCAGGGGTCCCGGGACTTTTTATACACCCTGTATATGTACGTATGTATGTATGTATGTATACACACGCACACGCCGCACACGCACACGCACACACGCACGCACGCACGCACGCACGCACCCACCCACCCACCCACACACACACACACACACACGCACGCACGCACGCACGCACGCACGCACGCACGCACGCACGCACGCACGCACGCACGCACCCACCTACACCCACCCATACACCCACCCACACACACACACACACACACACACACACACACACACACACACACACACACACACACACACACACACACACGCATGCACGCACGCACACGCACGCACGCACGCACGCACGCACGCACGCACACACACACACACACACATCAATAGTTAAGACGAGGATTAAATCCTTCTCTTACGGAACAACATACTTGAGGACTAAGTTGGCAGGAAAAAAGATATCCTGTCATTCTACACTTCACATACATATCGGATGTTACATTTCACAATTAAGTCCTCATTGCATGATTGAATTCATTGAGAAATACATCTGCACTTTCGATCGATAGTCTCGCATTTTCTATACTCTGCACAATTATTAAATCCGATTATCATATTAACTTAAGAAAAACTGCCTCTCTTTGCGAGAGACGAACGTTCAGATTAAAATATCGATCGATTAACGTGTAAATATCTTAGAGAGAAGTTAAAGCTTATTAAGTAATTTCAATAATGTACATATCAGAGGGAGAACCGATAATTCACATATTTGTCGTCAAGGCTTCGTCTTATTTCAACCTTTTCGTTTGTGTATAATGTATGTTAATCTTTTATAGAAATTCCATTAGTCACAGAAACCAAGAAAAAGGACGCAGTACTTTACGCTGAGACATTAAAATATTAGAATTACAAAATATATACTTTCATTCATGTACGTTAAAAAAGATAACTTTAAGATATAACTGCGTAATTTCCTCTAGTGGAAGTTCACTTCATTAAGTTACACAGAATAATGTATATTCGTTCGCAGAACAATTTGAAACGAGTTTCGTAGGACACATTACGGGTTGCAACCGATGTCCAAAGGGAAGATGTTTGTGCATTAATGCCCACGACATATACGGAGAGAATATTATATATATTTTTATATAAATTCTTTTGCATTTTCTATCAAGTTTTTTAGTACAGCATATACTACCGGTAGAATAGTTTATCTTGCTGTTAAATAAGAACATAATACATTTTTTTAAAACTTCCGAGTTTTTAAGATATTAGGAGTACCCATTAATAATTAAGTGTTTCAAAATTAAATACATCAAAAAGTCTATAGACAGCATTTATTTTTTAATCAATAATATAATAGGTTAAATACCTCTATCCACAAATAGTACACTAAAAAAATACTATTTATATATTACACAGCTCAAGTAGAAACTGATAAGATTATAAGAGTTCTGCAAATACTTGATTACTTTTATAGATACCCCTAATATAAAAAGCATATATGTGAAATAGAAAAACAATAAGTCGGAATGTCAATACGGTTCTCGATTACAGAATTCAACAATAACTTTCTATTAATTATAAAATTCTCTTCATGTATGTGACTTCCCTAGATGGACGTCTCGATATATGTCGAAGAAATATCCAAACCGTGTAAAAGTTAAGTGTATCAACATCGAATCTGTCCCAAAATAAAAAAAATAATAAAAAATGAGTGCATAATTATTTAATTATTCGCAGGATAACAAGGATCTGGTGAAACCCTTTCGTAGAAAAGAAAAAAAGTAGGAAAGGATCCATTACATCAAATTGATCACAGTCTATCCTATTGAGAGACAATGAACGTAGTTATGATCTACCGTGTCAATGAGCTGTCATAGAGACCCGGCGCTATAAATATGAATCAGTGTTCGCGATGACTTTTCCACGTGTGTTCAGTCTACCATCTGGTTGGTCCGGTGTCGCTTGCAGCTGCATTCGCTCCTACGAATGGATTTGTAGCAGCCGCTAGATTGAAATATTATATTAGTAATAATGAATGGTTAGTATGTCATGCTGATTTATCTTCTATTTTTTTTTTCTTTTTTTCACCAGCAACGCGCACTTGCAACGATTCAGCGAGACGATACAGCGGGTTCGATTCCCTCTCCAATATGAAAATGTTCACGTATATAGCGATCTGTATCGTGATCGTGTATCGCTGGACGATTCGAGGAAACGCACATTTGGAGCATAAGAAAATTTTCCAAGAAAATAAAACAAAGCATCTAATAACACCACTCTTCTAATAATAAAAAAAGAACAAGGAGAGATATACTAGAAATAAAACAACTTATTTAAAATTGCAGTTACATCGTAGGTGCACAGTTGATGTTACAAAAGAAAATTCAAATCCCGCAGCTAGTTAAATAAATTCGATGAAAACTACTAAAGAAAACTTCGATGCAACATTGCCAATTTATTCAGCAATGGGAACGACAAGAATGTAGGATAAATGAGGAGTAACAGCAAAAGAAAGAGAACTGTGCGAGGAGCATAATTATATGCTAATGTGTATATATATTTGTTTTTAAAACGAAATATAATATGATTCGTATGAATATATTTAGACACTATTTAGACACAAGTTACGGACTGAGAGAGGTGCTCTCTTTAGTGAAATCCCTTAAAACAGATGTCACAAAATATATACGACACGTGGCTACGAAGATTGCGCGATAAAACCGTCGAATCTGAATGCTCTCGTTGAAGCGTCGAAAAACGTCGATGAGAAATGATAACAGCGGCATAAAACCTTATTAATCTTTTCCTTCCGTCTCATCACTTATGGTTTGTATATAAACAACAAAGTAAGAGGTGAACTTCTCGGTAAAAGCTCATCCTGCTCCCTCTTTCTCTTTTTCTCTCTCGTATTTTGGTACGCATACTGGCATGTATAATTCTTCGGACGCTATCTAAAGACTAAAACATTAACTTTTATTCAGCATATATTTTCGCGCGTTCTCATCGCACTATGCAAAAAAATCACACCGGAAATCGCACGACGAACACGCACAAATATAAAATACTCTCCAAAGATTTTTTTTCTTTTAAGTATCATTAAATATACAGAATATCTCGAAATCACCGTGCAATACTTTAATAACACATTCTGAAGTTTAATTGAAATCGAAAGTTCTAGTACGAAAATTTCAAACGAAGTTATTGTCATTTATCTTAATTTTTCCATCTTTAACATTGTATATCTTTTTGTGATTAATCATCTACTTACAAGAAATTTTGTTCGCGTATACTTGCAAGTATATTTGAAATTGACTATAAAAATGAGTCATATAAATAAATAAATAAGTAAATAAATAGAATAAAATTTAATTTCATTATCCATTTGGTTTCCTAAATTTAATTCGCAAAAATCGGTCGTCTTTCTCATTGATTTATAATTCAAAAAATGCTAATGCACTTCGACATTTCTGTATTAGGATTTTTGAATTCAGTTAAACTCTAGAATACGCTGTCACAATGCTGCGCGATGATTTTGCGGTCATCCCGTATACAACACGTTCCTGTCTTCTTTTCTCTCGTACATGATATTTCTCTAATATCAAGAATAACAGATATCCTTGTTCGATTACTGGAAGACAGTATCTCCAATACTGTTTCAATAATTTTCAGTCACGGCTGACCTCGTGCACCGACAAAGAAACATCGTGGGTAAAGAGAAAAGAATGCCAGCCGGAGAAACGAAGCACGAGAAAAATCTACACCTAGCTTACGATTTTCTATATATAGAACTTTACACACAGCGAATCTACAGCTAATTCCTAATTCGGATTTCGAGCAATCACACTAAAGTCGAATGAAATATGCAGGGTGTTCAGCGTAACGATTCATTTGATTTATTTTGATGATTTTTTAGATTTCCGGCGGTTTAAGGAAAAAGTTGCAAAGTAAATTGTTAATTGCTTCATATAGACTACAACTTGTAATAAAAAAAGATTTTTTTAATTCATAAAAAAATGAAAATCACTTTGAATTTTTTAAATAGCACTATGCACTTTTTTTATGTAATATTATAGAGAACGTTAAGATAAATTCAACGCACTATCACAAATGTGATATATTATGTAAAAAAGTGCATAGTGTACCATTTCAAAAATTTAAAGTGAACTTGATTTCTTTATATAAAAAGAAAAAATATTTTTTTATCTTTTGTTATTACCAGTTTACATGAAACTTACATGAAGCAGTTGAAAATTTCTCTTGCAACCTTTTCCTTAATCCATCGAAAAGGTCTAAAAAATCATGCGAACCATTATGTTAAACACCCTGTATAAAAAAAAAAAAAACCGATAAGGAATCATTTTAGAAGCATAACATCGTCTTCTTCGATATGGCGAAATCATTTTCCCGAAGAACGATAGGAGGATTCGTCGAACGAGAGAACACAAGTGAGAAAAAAATATCATAGCAATACTTAGCAAAAGGAAAAACAAAAAAAAAATAAAAACGAAGAACGGGCAACAGAAAAGTGCGGAGCTCTCGATGATCTCGGGCGAAATAAGGTGAGAGATAGCGGAGATAGTCGGACGACTGACGGCCATGTACAAAAAAAGAGATGTAACAACTCATAACATGAACTCTCTATGTTCAAGAACTCGTAATACCAGTGGTATAAATCACGCGATCGCCACCGCTGTTTAGATTCGTGCTTTCATTAGCTGTAGACGTCGGTGCCGAAGCTCCCGGCGCAGGCATGGCGAATATAGGCTGCTGCACATTGGACGCGTTTTGCGATGCGCCACTCTGAGGTTGAGCCGTTACGGCGTCGTCGTCGCTCTCCTCTTCCTGTGAATAGTTTTAACATCGAGAGTGATATATACATATATATATGTACAGGTTCCGAAAATTTTATGGTCTGTTCTTTTTAGCTGCACTGCTGAACTGATGCAATAAGTTAGAGTGAAATAACTATATTTTTCTTATTCTAACTTGTTGCACCAATTTAGCAGTGCAGTAAGACACATCAGTCTCGTGTAAGTGGATAGGATCCAACTGAAAATTCCTATACCATTTTGCTAATAACCATGTGAAATTCCGAAATATTCATGAAACAACGTAAGCTGAAATTTGTTGATTGTCTTTTAACAACTACATGACATTTATTATCTGTGATATCAACTGACAACGAGAGGCGCATGAAATTAAACCGCATGTCCTCTGTTGCTAAAAAACAGTCAACAAATCAGTCATTTTTTATTAAATCCTTCCTACAGAGCATATCACCGCGTCGAACGCGTTGAATGCGCTAGTCTGTCTTTACTCATTAATATTTTGAAATTCCACGTAGCTGTTTACGAAATGGTAAAGGAATTCACATTTACTATTCAGTTCGACCCAATCTACCTGCACACGAGTGTGTTTCGATCTTCAGACACCCTGTATATGTGTACATATATGTACAAGAAACATCTATTAAACTATTTATATCCGCGGGCAAGTGTATTTCAAACTCTATTTAAAATGCACATTTTACACTCTTGTTATGTAAAACATTTTGAAGTTTCTAAAGCGAATTTGTATATACTCTTCTCCCTAATTTCCTAATTTCATTCCTGGATCTATCTGGGACCCTATTAATATTTAACATTATTTAAAATTTTTGTCTCACTTGAGATATTCGAATTTGAATTTATAGTTTTCCAGGTGAATCGTGATTACAAATGTAAAATTGGAAAAATTATTTTGTAAAGAAAAGTAACTTATTATAATCATTATAATCAACTTATTATCATAATTTAAGAAGTAACAAATCATTACAATTTCGTCACTTTCTTCACTTAGTTTGCAAGACCCTTTTTTTCATATTCGTTTCTGTCTATTCCATATATGTGTCCAAAATAATGGTTATATTTATCGTCATTTTAAAAATGTAATTGCGTTACCATTACTAATAAAAAAAAACCAAATCGTTACCAAATTGTTACTGGAAAAAAAGTAACTTGTAATGATAACGACATTATAATCAACGTATTATTTCTTAACCCTGAATATAGTGTTGTGTGTGTTATCTGATTCAATTGATAAACTCGCACCTAATTTTAAGGCCTGCATTTAATAATTGTCACTGGAAATTTGTCTCATGTGAAATACTCAGATTTTTACTTAGAATTAGATAAGTTTCTCGCTTGATTCGTATAATTAACATTATTCTCGGTTTAATTTCAGCGTTGGTACCACTTTCAGATCGTTTCTCTTCTTAGAGAAATGAACTGAAATATTAATGAAACATTAGAAATCAATCTACGAAGGACATGGCACCAATACAGAAAACAGAAACCAAATCATTCTTGTACATCGCACGAAAGTATAAAATATGACATTATATCTGTAATCGCGACTCAACTGAGAAGTTTATATTCAACTATTCAATTAAATACTAAATAACAAATCAGTATCTTATATATGAGATAAGTTTCAAGTAATAACTATTGATAACTATCGAAGTTTATACTCATACTAATAATTATTACTTGAAATTTATCTCATGTAAAATATTTAGATTTGAATTTAGAGTCAAATGTATCTGAATGTTAAATGAATTGATTACAGATATAATGTTACGTATGTTATATAACTCAGTTACAAACCTCATTAAACTCAATATTTAGATTAGAATATCTCATATGAAACAAATTTCAAGTAACTAATATAAGCTTGAGATATAAATGTCACGTAGGTGACTATGTTCTTACATTTGCAAGCTACGAATTTATTTATGTCAAGTACTTTTGTACCAGCAGAATTCGAATTTGGAATAGTGGAAACAAATAAAGCGTACGAAATAGATGGAAACAACATCATTATACATACATGTATCCTTGAAGCTTTCTGATTTTAAACTCTGATGATTATCATTTTTAATTTTGTCTAACAAACGTCTAACTTGAATTAATCAAAGTACCGTCGAATTGTCACGATATCTGTCGATAAATATGTTTCGCAATTAAGGAAGCTCCTCTGGACTTTTCTGTGAATGGTGCATGATACAATTTTATTTAGTTTTTCCATTTTCATATACAGTGTGTGCACTAGTATGCAAGTAAGGAGGCATATAAGATGTTATTTGAGTGGAATGAAGATGAATTACGGAATATTGATGTATCATCGAAAGAACAAGTTCAATGCCACAGCTCTTCGTGAAAAGAAGAGTATAATGCACAGCGAGAAAATGAGACAACTATTTGATATTTTTACAAATACATTGCGAAAATGGTACAAATTATCCTTCTATGTGTGCTGTACCCTTTAATGTGACGGACATATGTTTATGTGTATTGTAACAAATGAGTGCACAAAACATATTAATTATTTGCGAGAGTGCATGGACATCACAATAATTTGTCGTTCACATATCTCACAATCGAAAGATTTTGTGATACTATGTGTATGCATGTGTGTGTGTGTATGTTATAATGAAGTGTGCTACACTACCTCTGCGTATCTCGCATATGATTTGTGTGAAATCATTCCACCGTGATATCGAAAGAAAATCGTAAAACAATAAGGTATCAATGTTCAACATTGATCATAGCAAAATAGAAGAAAACCGAAATGTCAAGCATCATAATAACTTACCTTGGCCAAACTTCGCGGTTGATTTGTCACAACATCAGCCTCTGGATTCTGGTTCCGCTATAATACAATAATAACATAAACAAAACAGCTAAACTATGTACGCCTTTTTCTATAAAAGAATGAGATATAATTTGGCATGCGTGTGACAATAAGAATTCATGCATTCGTTTTAAAACTTTCTTTTTTCTTGTGTGAATTATCGCACCGGTGAGTAAAGGCTCAGCGACATCTATGAGAAGTTGACATTTGAAACAAGAAAAAAAACATAGAACAATAAATGTAAAGGGGGACAAAACCAGAATACTACGAGAAAAGTGAACTTTTTTTACAAGAAAGTGCCGAAATTTATTGAAACTATATATAAAAGCGATGCTAGTAAATATTTACACTAAGGGCGACCTTATTAGTGACTATGACTGAGATATGTTGTTAAAGTCATTATCCTGAGTAATCATCGAAAGGTTTTAATCACCGTCCATTATTTATCAAAAAATTATTAATAAAAATAAAAAATATAACAGGAGAAAAGTTCGCGTTAAGGAAAACGTCACCAATGATCACTCTTGGCATATATTATAGAGATCATTCTCTCAAGTAACAATCAAAAAGTTTTAACCATCGTTCTTTGTTTATTAAAATATTGTTAATAAGTTTTACAAATATGTAATTTTTTTATAGTGTATTTTTAGATAGATATATTTAGATATGGTACAAAGCAAATTAACTTGACCGATATATTTTTTATATGGTGTTAGATTGGGTTACTATGTATAAAGTTACATCGTATTCAATATATTTTTATGCATGGTAACTTAATCTATACAAAAATATATATGCTGAGTTAGGATAGTTTACTTCGGAATCGGAAGAAAAGGCGAAGTTTCGCACGTATTACGTGTATTGTTTATTAAATAAAAAAAATGTATACTATATCGAAAAATTATGTTCCATTTATAAGAATTCTTTCGCTAATAACTTTTCAATAAATAATATGCGACAGTTAAGAATTTTTGATCGTTATTTAAAAAGATAATCTCTATAATGTATGCAAAAGATAAAATCACTGAAAATACTACCTTCCTTAAACGGGAGTTATATTACAACAAGCATTATCAATGCTACAGAACATTTTTAAGATACAAGTTGGTAAATCTTTCTTATTAAATTGATAAATCTACCATATACTAAACATAGAGACATTGTAAAGATTGGCAAAAGCACTTACTTAAATGAGGTTAAATTTAAGTCAACGTTTATGTAAACCTTGCATAGATATCTTTATCAATTTTTATGAAACCTCCATTTTTAGTATACAATAAATTTACCAATTTAATGAGGTGAAGAATTTCAGTAATAATTTAATGGAATATAAATTAATAAGAAAACATGAAAGACGACCGATATTTTCAGGTCATTCTTCATCCTAAAGGATATGTTCAGCGCTATTAACGCTATTACCGCTACTAACGCAAACGCTACTAAAGCTCTTCGTAGAACCAATAACGCGATAGTAATAACGAGCTCTACAAACAAGCATCATTGCGTTATAGCGTTGTTTCCGCAATTTAAATACCATTTCAGTTTTAACATCCTAAAGATTTATTTAAATGCAATTTCCTATTACACACACACACACGCGCGCACGCGCACACGCACACACACGCACGCACACGCACACACGCGCGCGCACGCGCACGCGCATACACACACGCTCACACGCACACGCACACGCCCACGCACACGCTCACGCACACACACAGACACACACACACAGACACACACGCGCACACACACAGCACAGCACACACACACACACACACACGCACGCACGCACGCACACACACAGCACACACGCGCGCACACAGCACACACACGCGCGCATACAGACACACACACAGACACACACGCGCACACACACAGACACACACGCGCGCACCACAGACACACACACACACACACACACACACACACAGACACACACGCGCACACGCACGCACACACACGCACACACGCACGCGCACACACACACACACGCACGCACACACGCACGCACGCACGCACACACACACACGCACACACACACACACACACACACACACACACACACACACACACACACACACACACACACACACAGTGTGCATCATACAAAACGGACGATCTAGGCCTGTATGTTTGAATCCTTAACTTGTAATTAACTTAACTTATATAATTAGTAACTTAAATTACTTTAATTATTTAAATATATATTTTACTTTAAGGATAATATTACAATATTAATATTCCTTTTAAAATCTTCCATCATTATTTGCATGTTTAATAGTCATATTAAATTTTTTAATGATTCGATTCGATTTCATTCGATTCGGTTCGAATTCGAATTTAAGTAATGAGATTCGATTCGATTCGACATAAAAATTCTTGATTGGCACGTCTCTAATGTATATGTATATATAATAGTAAAACAATAAATATGATATATTCCGGTATCGTTTGACAAATATATAGATCAATGTTTTAAATGAAGTTTATACGCGTTAACGCTACTAATGCGCTACTTTGGAAGGAATAACGTTAGTAGTGCGTAGTTATGACGTACAACGCTATCATTAATGACATCATGATAGCGTTTGTTAGCGTTACGATCTAGCTTCACGAACAGCCTGTAACGCTAAATAGTACTAATAGTGTCTCCCCAAAACGCACTCAAAGTGAACTGAATTCGTTATTATTATCTAATTTGATTTGGATACAAAAAACTATAACAGATATACTTTTCAAGTTATGTCTTTAAATTATGTTCTGTAATACTTATAGTATTTATATTATCTGAACTTCTTTTGTTAAGAATTTTTTAATAAATAATGAGCGTCGATTAAATTAAAACCTTCTAATAGTTGCTCAGAGTGGTGATTTTAACAACACATGTCAAAATCATCATTATAGATGGGATCCTAATATAAATATTTCCCGCGATACCTTATTTCGCTGTTATGAATCTGTGAAACAACATAATTAACGTAGATATATATTTATATAGAAGTTGATACTTCCAACAGCTAATAAATAGTGAGCTGTGCCAAGGCAATACTAAGCATCTATGGTGCCCCAAATAAGAAAACGTAACAAATAATACTTGCAATTCTGGAGATGAATACAAACTTTTATGCACATATTGATCAAACTTAAGCCGCATGAACCCCTTAAATCACTCGTCTTCGCAATTAGATATCTATTAAGATGCTCTTTCCTTGCAGATATATTTTCCAACTATATGTGTATATGTGTGTCGAAAATTTGTGTATAAATGTAAAAAAAAGAATTCAGACTTATATTTCGATAGTTTTGCAATTTAATTGTGTATTTAGCTAAATATTAGATCATAATCGTAGGAAATAAATAATGATTGCGAATAATATCAAATCTATGATAAGCATAACCGTTTACTCTTTTTGCTATGCACTGAATAAATTAACATTTTGATGACCGTTGTCACGTATATATGAGTTAATTTTACAGTCATTACTTTATAAAAAAATATTTCTCGATAATAATCATTTATACTTGTAATATAGAAACTAAATACATATATACATGTATGAAGCTAGGTATATATATTTGTGTACAAGGATGCTAATCTCTTTAAATATCTCTATAAATATTTAAACGAACTTTCGACATTCGTCGACAGCAACCGACAATTCTTTTCGGAGTAAGTGTACGGCCGCCAAAGTGTTAATATAGAAACAATTGTTCACCTCATCATGCGCTATGAGTCATGCACATATGGGCAATGTACATAGAGTTAAAGTCGCATCTTTAATATTACATGTAACGTGCATTGTATGATGGCACACAAATTCATTGTTTGGATTATTTGAGTAGATTATGAAAGTATATCAAAATAAAAGCAATATCTCATTATGCTCTCTTCCTCGCCGAATTTTCTGTATACATAACACAACGAAATTTATTAAAGATGTATGAAGGAAAGTAGTATCAGTGTGCACTTGGAACGAATGTGAATATGTAACTTCTCCCTAATTCATGAGGAATTATATCAAATGCCTTCCATTCACAGAGAAAATATTATCGACAAGAAATGCTATTTTTTAGAACCAAGATTTGTTTCTGCTGATAGAAGTATATGTATTCATTTTATCTTTAACAATACTTGGATCCACATCATAATTAGAAGATCAATGACAAACTCGATAAGAAGATAGTGAGAAGAATACTCAAACAAAGAAACATTACCAATAATTCTTTGCTTATTTGGTGTAATTTATAAATAATCTGTAAATAAGGGAACTTCCTCGTTGTTGGTAAATTTATATACATATGTGTGCCAGTGAAAGCTTTCTTGATGCACCTTGTTTTCTCACTCTTTCTTGGCACTTAAGTCTGTATAAAACTTATTATAAAATAATAATAAAACTTAATGAACATATTTTACCTGTAAATTATGGTATTCGCCACTATCCTCTGGTGGAGTTGGTTTACATTTACCGCAACAGAAGTTGCAACAGCAACAACAACAGCAACAACAGTAACAAGCAGTAATTAGCCCACAAAACAGGAATAGTGCCTGGGGACAAACAAAATGATATTAGAATATATCATAATATGATTATACACTTGCTGATATCAATGAGATAAAATTCTTATTTCAATGGAGTCATTAAATTGTGTTGAGAAATGCACTTATGATAAGATGTATTATCTTGAAATGTGACATTCATTTTCTTAGATAAGATATGGAAAAAAATTGATCAATATTCTTACCTTGCACCACCCAGAAGTGACAACAAAGTAAGCATTAACATTTTCTTCTCCAAACTGTTCTGCGACATACAAACCAAGAGATCCATAATTGTCATATATGTTACGTTTTGTTAGATCTGTGAGTATAGCATGTGCCCTGTTTATTTCCTTAAACTGTAAACACATAATGATTACAAGATATATTTTAGAAGATATTACTGCCACAAGATATTGTATTTTAATACATTCTAGTGAGAATTACTTTTTCAGCTGCCTCTGGATTGTTAGGATTCTTGTCAGGATGATATTTCAGTGCTAATTTCCTATATGTTTTCTTGATCTCCTCTGAAGTAGCAGTTTTTGGAATTTCCAAAATCTGATAGAGGGAATCTCCTGCAGTACTATAAGAAAAAAAATAAACAAATCAATCTCAAATCACTATCAGTCACAATAAATAAATAATATATTTGTGGCTTGTTATATCTTCTGACCAATATGAATTTTTCACAATTTACTGATTCTTCTGGAAAAAGTCATTTATATGGTTCATGAAGAAGAAAAAGAACATTGGTTACTTTAAACTACTTCAAATCCATTAAAGACTATTCTTCTTCTCTTCATAATTGTATTATATTTAATTTTTTTTTTGTTCAAATGCACATGGGAAACCTCTTACCAGGTTACGAGTTAATTAGACAGATAAATAAGATCTGTATACTAACATAAAATTCAACTTATGAAAAATAAAGTTATGAAAGTGTCAGCATGTAAAGTGAGATAGATCATGATAATCTATAGAATTATGGCGACCTATTTCATTTTATATGACATTTATCAAATTGGAATTTATTCCAGAACTATTGTTCATACGGCCATTCATGAAACATTTTTTTCAAGGCTCATGTTACATTTCGACGAATCCAAACGTGTGTAACGTATGTTGTTTCTTTAAATTTAGACAATATCTACGTTCCACATAATTGACAACCGGTATGCGATAAAAAAGAAGTTACGAAAGCTTTCTTGATTCATCATGTTCCATTGCGAATGTCAGTTAATCCTAGGAGCGTCAAGTAAAGATTTCCGAGAGAAAGGAACTGAACTTATCGGCAATGATTGACGCATCGAGCAGTCTCAGGAGCGAGAATGTGGTAAGGGGAAGCCGATAAGATGCACGAGCAGATAAAAGCACACGGCTCCTAGTGTCTGGGGCGTCTTCGTAATCGTAGTAGTGATTGTCTACTCACGACATTTTTCTCCTATCCATGATGAACGACGGACTGTTGACTGATCAATTTCTCGAGCGATTTTACCAAACTATGAACTCCTTCGCGCGTCTCCACAAAACAATACTACGCGAACATTTCTCCTAATATATCGTACGAAAATACGCGCATCGTTTCAGTAGAGGTGTGCCAGAGCATCACCAACAGCACACGAAAGACGATTCAATATTTTAGTTCAATCACTCAACGCAAATGCGCCAAGTGGCGCTGGTTGGTTATGTTGTATCAGAGAGAAACCTGAGAGCGGTCACCGGGCGAAAGCATATGTCTGTCCTGATACGCCCCCTGAGAAAATAGACGTCAACTAACTCGATGTCTCGGTAACGATACGAGGTTTGTGTCTGTGATTTGAATCTGGTTAATGTCCGAGTTACTAAAACAGACTATAGTGAAAATGATATACAGGGTGTTTGATAGCTGATCATGCAGACGAAAGTTGGAGATAGATTGGGTGTAGCCGAGAAGAAAAGTCATGTACCATAATGTCAAATTGGCAATAGTTATCAAGTTATTAATTAAAACATGTGAGCCAACGAGCGCGTAGAGATCGGAGGGCGACCGCAGTAAGCACATAGACATTTGATACAGGCGGAGTCAACGAGTGGCGGTAGGCGAGCGCGCGCTCGCGAGAGGCAACGTAAACAAGAGGCGAACGCGCGCGACGAGGAGCGAGCGAGCGCGAACGACGAGGACCGAGCGAGCGCAAGCGACAAGAGGCGAGCGAGCGAGCGCGAACGACGAGGAGCGAGCGAGCTATAAGGAAAAAGCTATAAAGAAAAAGCTCGCTCGCTCCTCGTCACGCGCGATCGCCTCTTGTCGCTTACGTTGCCTCTTGCCGCGCGCGCTTGTCTACCGCCACTCACTGACTCCGCCTGTATCAAATGGCTGCGTTCAGCAGAACAAAGCGATCAGTGAGCGCTTAATGATTCTCGCTTCTGATTGGTAAATACTTCTGGGTCTATGAAGAATCTAAAAGAATACTCCAATCGCAGACAATAATCACTAAGCGCTCACTGATCATTTTGTTCTACCGAACGCAGCCAATGTCTACGTGCTTACTGCGGCCACCCTCCGCTCTCTACGCGCTCGTTGGCTCATATGTTTTAATTAATAACTCGGTAACCATTGCCAATTTGACATTATGGTACATGACTTTTCGGTAAATATAGAGAATTTAGGCCTATACGCCGATTTTGATGAGACTAGGCTTATTCGATGCGTTTTTGCACGAGAAACAACTTTTTCCTCTGGCAAAATCGGCGGTCTGCCCCACGAAGCGAGATATTAAATGTTAAAGTTAGCAATAGGGTAATTATGCACTTTAGAAGATGCAGTTGGTAAAGTGACGGCGGGGGGCGGAGCCCCCCGCCGTCACTTCGCCAACAATACTTCACTAACAATAATTATTTTTTACAGTAAGAAAGATTAATAAACGATTTATATAGAACTGAAATTTGGTTTAGGTTACGTTATACAACTTCACTTCGTCTTGCAAAATACATAGTGAGTGAAGAGAACATCGCCACGGAAATGAAAAGAAAATGTTAAATTCTGATATGTAATTTCTTAATTATGTATGCTTTATTTATGAAATATAGATACGAATTAATCATGGGTCAGTTGTATTCCATCCTGGTGGAAAAAATTGTCCGATAGCTTCGAAGAAAGCAACTATTTGGTCATTAAACTTATATCGCCGTTTAAAGAAAAATTCTGCTATACAGGGTGTGTCGGAACTTTGGGACATGAACTCCGTAAGGATATACCAGGTGTGTCGGTAATTCCTTTCCGATTTTTTCGCTAAAGAAAACACGTTATTTACAATGGATAGTTAAAATATATTTATTCAAAGTATTGGCCATTTGATTCTATACATTTTGCCCATCTCTCAGGCAATTTATGGATGCCATTCCAAAAAAACTGTTTCTCCTTTGTGCTAAACTATTCATCAAGCCATTTTTTAACTTCTTCGAAATCGGCGAAGTACTGCTCTGCAAGCGCGTGCCCCATCGATGCGAAAAGGTGATAGTCGGATGGAGCCAGATCTGGAGAGTACGGCGGGTGCGATAAAACTTCCCATCCAAGTGATTTCAACACTTCTTTGACTGGTTTTGCTGTATGAGACGGCGCGTTGTCATGCTGCAAAATCACCTTATCATGTCTTTGAGCGTATTGTGGACGTTTTTCGATCAATGCACAGTTCAAATTGATCATTTGTTGTTGGTAGCGATCAGTATTAACTGTTTCTCCAGGTTTCAACAGTTCATAATATACGACACCAACCTGGTCCCACCAGACACAGAGCATGGTCTTGCGACCAAAGCGATTTGGCCTTGCAGTCGATGGGCCGTCTTCGCCAGGTGATAACCATGATTTTTTTCGCTTGGGATTTTCGAAATAAATCCATTTTTCATCATCCGTTACTATTCGATGCAGAAATGACTTCCTTTCATACCTTTGAAGCAACATTTCACTGACGATTTTTCGATTTTCCAATTGCCTGTCATTCAATTCATGTGGCACCCATCTTCCCATCTTTTGGATCTTTCCCATCGCTTGTAATCGTTCACAAATTGCTACTCAGCTCACATTCAACTTTTCTGCCAATTGTTTTTGAGTTTGTGTTGGGTCTTCATCCAATAACTCCTGCAATTCTGCATCTTCAAACGTTTTCGGCCTACCAGGACGTTTTTTGTCTTGAACGTTGAAATCACCACATTTGAATTGTCGAAACCACGTTTCACATGTTCTTATGGTTGGAGCATGCTCACCGTAAGTCTCTACCAGAAAACGATGACTTTCAGCTGCTTTTTTCTTTTGATTAAACAAGAAAAGTAATGCGTGCCGCAAATGCACGTTTTCAGGCACAAAACTCGACATTTTCAAAAAATTATTAATCTATAACGCTGTTATTTTGGCGGAACGTAACTTGTGTAGTTTTGAGGTTAATGTCAGTAGAATAAAATGACATATGTATCAAATCATAACATTGCATACTTATGGCTAGTGACATCTGTTACAAAAACCGGAAAGTAATTACCTGGTAATTACTTTACCTGGACGAGAAAGACATACCTGGTAGAACTAAGTGAGAGGAACAAAAAAGTCCTGTGCCATAATGTGAAAATCGTAATAGTTTTTTAATTATAACAGCGCAAAGTTAGATGTTTTCCACGCCCAGCACGGCCTATAGACGCTCCGCGGCAAGCTATGTGCGTAGGGGCTGAACGATAACGTAGCTCGCGCTAACCGTCGCGCGGCGTCAAAACGCTAAGACGCCATCGCGACAGTCAGCGCGAGACGCGTTATCGCCCCTACGCACACAGCTTGCCGCAGAGTGTCTATAGGCCGCGATGGGCGTAGAAAACGCCAAACTTTACGCGGTTATTACTAAAAAACTATTACGATTTTCACATTATGATACAGAACTTTTTTGTTCTTCTCACTTAGCTCTATGTCCCTACGGAACCCGTATCCCAAAGTTCTGGGACACCCTGTATATCCGATTAAATGTGTTCCGTATCGTGAAATATTGGCTCGAACTTCTCGCCACGTTCATTCAATATTCTAGGTATGAGCTCCTATAACAATATTATTTTATGTTCTTGTTATCTACTATTGTATATGTACAAAAATATATGATTTATATATGATTTAATGATAAAACAGTATTACACATTTTGTTACTTACCAGTTTCAGGATCTACAAAATTCATTGAGTGGTTTACAGTTAAATGAATAAAGCCTTCGTCATTTAAGCAATTATATGCCTTCCACATATCCGACATTATCGTTCGACATTATCCTGGCAAAATCCATTTTTTTATAATATTCAACAATGTTTCTTTGGTACAATCTTCGAGCGGCACAATAAAGGCTTTGCCTGTACCTCGCTCAAAGACACCGAAAATCCATTTGCCTGTGATTAGACGTCCGCGATTATATTTACGCTTCCCAATTTTTGCTTCATCTATCTCGACAACAATTCTCTCTCCGCCAGTTGGGTTTTGTTGATTTTCAAGCCAAAGAACGCACACCTGGGATGAAATACAGTTCAAAATAGAAAATATTTTCTTTAAAAGGAAATATAATTAGTAAATAAAGTATAACTTACCTCACGATAAAAACTTGACCAATCAACAATAGTTTTACCGCTGAGTTCTAATTCTTCTTTATAGAATGCAGAGCGCGGAGGACGTATCATCAAAAAATACCCAATAAAACGGACAATTGTCGTAATATCGAGATTAATATTGGCTAGCCATGTACTACTTGTGAAACTTTATTTAAATTCACAATGTGAAATTTTTTTCTTTTTATTTTTGTGTTTAATAGTAGTCACTTTTCGACACCGAAACAATAATGTCGACATATTTAAAGCAAGTTTATTATTACATCGTGGACATATCATTTCTATATTTGTTATGCCACATTTTCGCACAAATTCTATTAATTCATTTCGGCGCTCACACATCGATAGAAATTCAAATAATTTCATTTTTCCATAAATTATAATCACAAGACCACTAACGATGAACTGAAGTATTCGATCGTTGATCGAAGAATATAACTTATAATTTTTGTATCGTGACAACACGAGAATTGTTTTTGTTCCAACGTGTACATGAGAACAGTGAGTGACTTTGACTTTGATCTTCATATATGTTGTGCGACCGCTCCTAGCGACTAGGAAGCGGGCAAAGTCGCGACGATCGGTCCGTCGCCCTCCGCCTAGGCACCAAAATTTTCACGAATGAATGTTGGGCGCCAGGCATGAATATCGTGCCCACCAACACTAACTAGGCGGCGCACAGTGGGAAATTTTGCTCACTTTTTGGACAAAAATCTTGTTAGAGCTCAATTCTTCATGAAATTGAATGATTTTTTTTTAAATATTCGTAAAGACTTATACTTTAAGCTGGTACTGCGGAAATTTAGTACAATAGTACAATTTAGGAACAATTTTTAAAAAAATAACTATACATTAGAAGGTGAGGGAAAAGTAAAAAAATAAAACTATTAATGAATAAAGTAATAAAATCAGTTAAGAAAAAAAATACAAAACCTGAAAAAAATTACAAAGCCAAAAAAATAAAAAAAAATTAAAAATTAAGACAAATAAAAAATAAAAAAGTAAACAAAAAACAAAAAACAAACCTCTTTCGTGACTGTTACTTTGACGCGGTTTAGAG